GTCCTCCTCCCATTTTCACCTCAAAATTATGGGGAAGCTGTGCCTCCCCTGCCTCCCCTGACGAGCCGCCACTGGTGGCAACGACTCCAAGATGCTTGAAGAAACTTATCTGCAAAGCTACAGTACTGTGAAAAGTCATGTCACTCCAGATGGACTGGATGATGGTGAGATCAGATCTCTGTGTGGAGCACTGGCTGTTGTCAGACTCTTTGTGCATACAAAAATCTCACTGGATTATTACAATTAATGACAAAGGGAATGTTTGGAAATGTAAACTGATATTTCCTACTGACACACTACAGCAAAAGACGAAAATAACTGGCTTAAATTTTTGTTGTTGTTGTTGTTGGTGAAAAATAGTGATATTATTATTATACTACTGATATTACTACTATAATACTTTTACTCAGTAATCTATCTATCTATCTGGAAATTTTTCTGCAGTGTAGTTTTGTTCATGGCTTTTGAGCATAAGGGCATGTTGTGCAACCTGTCCATGTTGGCATCTGCCTAATTTGGCTTCTACCAAGTGACAGATGGATGTAAGAGCATTTTTCATCCCTTTTAAAAGTTAAAAGTATTTATTTTGTTGTCCTACATATGAATGATCATATAGTTGCATTTTATTATTTGCATTAACATAGTTTTTTTTTCCAGCTTTCCATGACTCAATAATAGCACCTACTTGTTGAGAACCACTGTTGTAGACTGTAGAAAGTTTATGGTGACACACCATTCATTATTTTCTATTTCAAAGCACATCTTTCTCCCTGTGTTTAGTCAAGCGATAGTTTGCTGTTTATCTTGTCTAATAGCACACGGTTCCCGATCACCACCCACTGACTGATACAGCGCTAGAACCGTTTGGGTGCTGTTCCCTCACAGTTTGCATCAAAGCTTTGGTGTTGAATTGAAGTGAGAGGAGGCAGAACGTGGGTATGGAGCATTGCAGTCGTTCACCTCTCCTCCTCCTGTTTTCCCTCTTCACATTTCACCTCAAAATTATGGGGAAGCTGTGCCTCCCCTGCCTCCCCTGACGAGCCGCCACTGGTGGCAACGACTCCAAGATGCTTGAAGAAACTTATCTGCAAAGCTACAGTACTGTGAAAAGTCATGTCACTCCAGATGGACTGGATGATGGTGAGATCAGATCTCTGTGTGGAGCACTGGCTGTTGTCAGACTCTTTGTGCATACAAAAATCTCACTGGATTATTACAATTAATGACAAAGGGAATGTTTGGAAATGTAAACTGATATTTCCTACTGACACACTACAGCAAAAGACGAAAATAACTGGCTTAAATTTTTGTTGTTGTTGTTGTTGGTGAAAAATAGTGATATTATTATTATACTACTGATATTACTACTATAATACTTTTACTCAGTAATCTATCTATCTATCTGGAAATTTTTCTGCAGTGTAGTTTTGTTCATGGCTTTTGAGCATAAGGGCATGTTGTGCAACCTGTCCATGTTGGCATCTGCCTAATTTGGCTTCTACCAAGTGACAGATGGATGTAAGAGCATTTTTCATCCCTTTTAAAAGTTAAAAGTATTTATTTTGTTGTCCTACATATGAATGATCATATAGTTGCATTTTATTATTTGCATTAACATAGTTTTTTTTTCCAGCTTTCCATGACTCAATAATAGCACCTACTTGTTGAGAACCACTGTTGTAGACTGTAGAAAGTTTATGGTGACACACCATTCATTATTTTCTATTTCAAAGCACATCTTTCTCCCTGTGTTTAGTCAAGCGATAGTTTGCTGTTTATCTTGTCTAATAGCACACGGTTCCCGATCACCACCCACTGACTGATACAGCGCTAGAACCGTTTGGGTGCTGTTCCCTCACAGTTTGCATCAAAGCTTTGGTGTTGAATTGAAGTGAGAGGAGGCAGAACGTGGGTATGGAGCATTGCAGTCGTTCACCTCTCCTCCTCCTGTTTTCCCTCTTCACATATCCTTCACTCTGCTCTGTGCGTTCCTCCTCATCCGGAGGGACTCGCTTTAACAGCTGCATAAATGCACTCTGCTTCTACAAGGACGCCTGCTAGAGCTCAGCTCTGCCAGTGCAGGAAAAAGAGTGTGTGTGTTTGTGTGTGTGTGTGTATGCACTAAAGTCTGCTCACTGCATACAGATGTCTTGGATTGAAATGGATATCTAGCACCTGGGAGAACAATTCAAGCGTCTGTGAATGCAAACTCACACTCACACACTGAAAAACATGGTGTGAGTAATATTCTCTTTAGCAGGAGCTGACAGGCCTGTCTGGATGAGGTTAGAAAGTCAGCTAAATTTGCTAGCCTAAACATGCTAGCCTTCCAGAGACAGAATGGGGAGAAATTGCAAGGTTTAATATGACAGGCCAGCATAAGAAGTATTTAGTGTGATTTGAGCTAAAGAAGCTAAATTTATTATTCCATTTTTTACATATGAGTTTTTAAATACATATAAGCAAACATTCATAGAACATGTGAACACCCGATTGCATGAACAGGAAGATATGCAGACAGATAGAAGACATTTTAGGGCATTTAAGACCTGTAGCATGTAACATTAGTCTCTTACTTTCCATGGTTGTGAATGTACTTGTCTGGATGAGTCAAAATCTCTATTTTTAAAGATGAGTCTTAATGAACCAAGAATTCTCTTATGGTGCCTCTCTGTTGTTATCAGATGTTGTTATCAGATGGCCATCTGCCCAGGAGGAAGTGAAGTCTGAGGATTACAATATTCTCTTTTTTAACTGTTCTGCTAGTCTGTGAACACAAATTCACATGCATCTAGAGTGGCACAAAACTAATTTTATATATATAATGTGTGTCACAGCTGGCGTATCTGTATACATTTAGAAAGTCAGCTGTGCGTTGTTTCTACTCAGGAATGTTGTGCTTGTTGTCATATACTTTAACACACTATCATGGTGTTTACAGTGAATGTAATCAGTGTTTATAGAGAAATGCTTCCGCACATGATTTTGCTGAGCATGTTAGATTTTGACAAGCCAAGGGTGCGTGGCTGCCTAGTGGATGTGACTTGCAGTCTCTGCTTTGTAACTCTGTAACTTTGTAACTTTTTGTAACTCTGCTCTGCTCTTGTAACATTTCATTTCAGATGCCTGTTTTTTATTTTTTATTTATTTATTTTTAAGAAATTGCTTTCATTCCGAATGGATGGATTAAATTGATCAAAAGTGACAGCAAATACATTTGTTACATAATATTCCTATTTCAAATAAATGCTGTTGTTTTGAACTTTCTATTCTTCAAAGAATCCTTAAAAATATATATTAAGTATAAATAAAATTATTTCTGAAGGATCATGTGACACTGAGGACTGGAGTAATGGCTGCTCAAAATTCAGCTTTGTTATCACAGGAATAAGTTACGTTTTAAAATATAATAAAATAGTAGAGATGCACCGATTGCAATTTTCTCGGCCAATTCCGATTTCCAATTTTTTGGAAGTGTGACCTACCGATACCGATTTTTGCCGATTCCGATTTTCTTTCTAAGTACTATAATTGACAGCATATACAAACAAAAATCTATGCAAATTTCAATGCAAAAAATTATTTACATAATAAAAGAAATTATTAAACATTACAATTCCCCCAATCTGGACTAAGTTATATTTTCTTTCACTTAAACAACTCTCAAAATAAAGTGCTCTGTGACTGGAAAGAGGAAGAAATAGTTAACTTAAAATGAGTTTCTGTATGTAACAAAACAGATGTCATTTCCCACTATGTTTATAAATGGTCTTTTTTTTCCCCTAACCTTATTAAATGTGTCATATTTCACATCAGATTCTTACTTTGTTTCAATTAATTCAGTTAGAATAATAAGAAACTGTAGAGTTGTTACCATTCAAATGAAATTAGTATTAACAAACTCTATATTGTCACTGCAGAGGAAACAGAAGCTGCATCTGAAGTGGCATTAGATGCATTTACACAGACATTTTGATGAAGCTGAGGTGCTTTACACTGCAAAATTTCAAATGCATAAATAATTTTATAAGATTAATGTTTTACATATTTTTTTAAACATACAAATAAATGTTTAAAAAATGCAGTGATACCTTTAAATATGACTAAACCACCAGTAGGTGGCGGCAAATGTCTGTTTTAATGAATGAGTCATTTATTCATTAATTCAACCAATTAATTCAAACGGCTGATTCATTCAGATATGAGGCAAGTGACTGTCCTTATGAATGGGCCACTGAATCATTGACTCACTCGATTTGTTCAAAAACGTGAATTCATTCAGTAACGAAACACTGCTGTGTGTTGCTCATGACGTCATTGCCGGCGCCACTGGCAATAAAATGATCAGCTCTGAATCGGCTAGACGTGAGACTGACCGGCCGGTCACGCGAAAAATCGGCCGATTCCGATCTCTGGCCGGTCAATCGGTGCATCTCTATAAAATAGAAAGCAGTTATTTTAAATTGTAATAATTTTTCAAGATATTTCTGTTTTTAATGTATTTTCGATCAAATAAATGCAGCATTGGTGAACATATGAGACTTCTTTCAACAGCTTTAAAAAATCTTACCAACAAATTTTGAATGTTTCAAAGTGTTGGATATATTTAGAAACATTTAATATATTTATATAATATTTAGATTCTCAAAATAACATTTTATTGGATAAAATTGTATCTGTATTTTCTACAAACATGATTTTAATGTTAATAACTTAAAGGTTCAGTAACTTAGTAAAATAAATTTATACAAAATATATATTTTTTAAAAAGGGACCCAATTAATTTCATTTATTAATAGTGGAGAATATCAATACACACATTTCTTAAGTATATTTATTTAAAAATTAATTAAAAATGCACATCATTTGCAGTCTTATTTTTTTGTGGTGTTAATGATTGAATGATTGGAGCCTGTATGTGTGATCATAAATGAAGATATAAAATTCGATTTACATTCAAACAGATCTATATTATCAGTGCAGTGTGCCTGTGTTTATTGTGAGGCATTTCTTATGCATTGTCTTAGTAGGAATGTGTTTGCTCTCTGTATGTCCCAGAAACAGCCCTGGTCTGAATCTTCTGGTAGCATTGATAAAACTGCCTCAGTGCTGAGCCTGGCAGGAGGACAATGCTTTGACCCAGTGCTGAAACAGTTGCTCTTTGAACTCTGCGCTGTGAGACAGTGGTGCCGGAATGAGTTTTAGAATCCTGGGATTGATCCTGGTATGTTAGTGTGAAGGCCTGGCTCATGAATATTAATTAGCGTGTGTCAACGTTGCCAGGTAGTCTTGCTAGACTGTCTAGTCACGTAACCTATTTAATATTCATGAGCCAAACCTTTACCTTGGTATTTATTCATAAAATCATGTTCTGTGCAGATATGCTTTAGTTGTATAGATGATTTGGCATTGAGATACAATATTAGATCAGCTTTACATTTGCTCATATATTTTCCTTGTTTTAATAAACTGACTCATGTTTAGGATGACAGACTTAGCAATCTAAGGTTAAATTGATTGTGCCTATGGTTTCATTCAGATTACTGTCTCAGAGATTTTGTAGAAATATGCGTGGAGATATATCAATATACTTTCTTAGTTCAGGATAGGCCAACAAAACATTTTAATATCAGCCATTAAAATTCAGTTTAGTGGAGCCAGTTTTAAAAGGCATCTGGGGCTTGGAGAAGAAAACCTCCCATGTTTGGCCTGTATATTTTGGGTAACCTTGAGCAATACTATAATGTAGCGTGTCCCAAATACGTCAAATTGAGAGTGGCTCCCTTGACATTTGCGTTACAGGATTTTGCTCTGTTTCTAGAGCCTGTCTCATGCCTCAGTCTCTCCAGCCCGCTGTAGGACAGAAAGGATTTAGTTGTGATGACATTTCTATTGTTCAGCTGAATTCCTATGGTAATTCTCCATGCCCTCATAGAGGATTCTCTGAAATGGGTTGCATGTGAAACAAGACAATAGCAGTAAGAAATGAAGGGAGATGTGTGGAACGGTATTATGAGAGTGGATGAAGAAATTCATTCCTATGTCGTTCTCATCTGCTGTCTATCACTCTTCGTTTCCATGTAGAGAGCTGTATTTTGTATTTCCACCTCTTTTAGCTATAAAACAAAGACTCAAGCAGATGTCCAGCGCTGCTCTGATTCTCTCTGTATGAAGCGAACAATGTCTGATCATAAGAGAGACACTGATTTAAGAGGAGAGCACAGTGGCCTTGCTGCCAGCAGACGGACAGGCAGGGAATGGGACCCACTCAGTCTGTGCAAAGTTTGGGCACTTCAGCCAATGTGTGAACTATTTGCATATTCTCTCAGTCCTGAATATCAGACAGTTAGAAGATAAACATTTGACTGCCATAAATTGATTGATTTGGAGAGTAATGTGGGTAAATGGGAACATAGCATTTTATCTGTTGTTCTCAATTTACAGGAGCTTCATAAGAAGATGCTTGTGTTCTGTGGGATTAATGTTATTGTAAAATGCAGTGTAAATGATTTTGGGAGTGGAATATATGACTGTGTTAGCTTGGTCGATTAACAGAAGTGTTTTCTGTTACCAAATATCTTTAGTCATTTTTTTTGCAATTTGAATTACTTTTTCTTTTTTTAAGTATTTATTTTATTTATGTGATTTTAAATGTATTTAAAATGTATTCTAATTGGAAATTATAACAGTACAAATATTTGTTTGCAGTTACTGTACATTTATAATAATATTTTTGTTTACACTACCATTCAAAAGGTTGGGTGTTAAGATGCTTCTATACTTAAATTTTCTGTAATATGCTCTCCTTTTCTTTGTTTTGACCTTTTGTATATGCTAGTATATTTTACTGTTTCATGATTTGATATAATGTGCAGTTTGAGTTCAGGGTCCTGTAATGTTCCTAATGATTTGTTAGCTTTCTAAAGCTCTGTTGCAGTGGGTTGAGTCTGACTCTGCAGTGTGTTAATCAATAGGTCTCGGGCAGCCGTCTCACACACAGCCTGTGTGTATGGATAGAGGAAAAGACTCTCTCACTGTCTCATTCTTCCACAAACAAACCCCAGAAAGACAGATAGATAGATTATTTGAGTTTAAAGGCTCTGAGGGATGCACACACAAACACACACACAATTCAGTGAGTACAACGCAGTTCTTGTTCACAGTGGTGGCTCCTAATTATCTCTCGTCTGAGGAAATTGGGCTCCCTGAGAAACACCCTTTTTTTTTCAATTAGCTGGTCATGTATGGATGACTTCATTGGCACCTTGCTGCCAGTAATATTCACACCCTCCACACACTTAATGTCAGAAGAATGCCATGGAGAGCATGATCAAGGCATAACTGACCCTCATTAGAGTCCAAAATGAAGTCGAGGACTGATAATGTTCACCCAGAGCCTTTCATTTTTCTACTTGTTTAAGAAGGATGAGGAATGGGAGCAATGAAATTTGATTGGATGAATATATATAACCAGCTATGTTGCCATCTTTTCTTTTTAGCTTTCATGCATGTGGTTCGAACACTTCAAGCATTTTTTTTATAATTATAATTTATATAATTTATAAATTATAATTTTGTATAATTTATACGATTTTTCCTTTTTTTCAATTTTTTTGTCTGTTTATAGTTGCTTTTATTATTTATTCATTGTCAGTGCAACAAAGTTGAGCAGAGATTAATGATACGGCAACCTCTCTAAACCTTTTTGACTCAAAGGATCCCCACTCTATTAATAGAATACACTACAGTATATTAATATTATTTCAATGTTATTATAAATCTTATTATAATTTACAATTATTATAACATTTTACAGATAAATTCAAAAAATAAAAATATAAAAATAAAAATGGCAGAAATAAATATATAAAAAAAAAACACAAAATTTACTAAAATTAAATTCTAAACAGATTTGATAACAGAAAACACTTTCGTTATTCGCTGACACAAATCATCCACTATCAGATACATTCATCTGGTGTCATATGTTATTAACAAAACCTTGGAGTGTTGATATAGGTAGAGTAAATGAATTAACTACAATTAATTTTGTGATTCCAGGACTTTCAAGAAATGTATGTTTTTGAATAAAAACAATGGGGAGTGAGGGGAAAAAGACATTTGATTTCAGTTTATATCTTTATGTATGCTTGTTTTTAGCATTTTAATAAAGTTCAATTGTTTAACTTGTTAGCGTTTCACTGTACTGCCCATGGTACACTGCGTGTTTTCGGCAATTTAGGCAAATTTTACAGGAATGCTAAGGGGTTAAGTATAGTTATAATTAATGTAATAATAATTAAGTAATTTAATTAATAGTAATATATTAATTTAAGTAATCCTGGGGCCTGCTTGAAGGTTGGTTGAGGCTCCAGTGGGCCCCCGGACACCTGATGAGAACCAGTGTTTTAAGGGAAGTCAGTACACTCAGCAGAGATCTTGTTAACATTCAGTACTTGTCTACTTGAATGAGGAAAGACCAAAATCTGTGTAACAGTTTGACGAAATTACATTTCAGTAACAAACTCTTTGTCTCTTCCTTCCTCTCTATATCTGTCTATATAGCCACAGCTTCCTGTAACTGCAAGCCGATATTGGTGGAGGAACATTTAATGCGAAAAACCCCACACCCCCTCCTCCCTGCCTCCAAGCTCCTCCTACTCCATCGTCATGGCGATGAACAGTGATCCTGGTTGCATGGGGGTGGGCCCTGACCCAGACTCCTCCCAGACCACTGAGATGACTGACAAGATGTCTGCGGTGTCGCTAAAGTCCGATACCTCCTCCAGTGTAGTGAAGAATGGGACAGGTGTTAAGAAAGCAGTTAAACAGTTGAGTTTTACCGTTTTCGAATCCATTCAGCCGATCTCCGGGTCTGGCGGTAGCACTTTTAGCTGCTGCACCCATGGTACGGCAGCAAAGTTCCTTGATTATTACTCCGGAATGAGAGTATAGTTCCTAGCCATATCAGCCTAGAAAATCGTAAATTTTCATTTTCCGTCAGTCTTAGTACACGATGTAACACTTATGTTGTTACATCACTTGTGATGTTAAAACTCCCACCCGGGTGACACTACTCTTGAAGGTTGGTTGAGGCTCCAGTGGGCCCCCGGACACCTGATGAGAACCAGTGTTTTAAGGGAAGTCAGTACACTCAGCAGAGATCTTGTTAACATTCAGTACTTGTCTACTTGAATGAGGAAAGACCAAAATCTGTGTAACAGTTTGACGAAATTACATTTCAGTAACAAACTCTTTGTCTCTTCCTTCCTCTCTATATCTGTCTATATAGCCACAGCTTCCTGTAACTGCAAGCCGATATTGGTGGAGGAACATTTAATGCGAAAAACCCCACACCCCCTCCTCCCTGCCTCCAAGCTCCTCCTACTCCATCGTCATGGCGATGAACAGTGATCCTGGTTGCATGGGGGTGGGCCCTGACCCAGACTCCTCCCAGACCACTGAGATGACTGACAAGATGTCTGCGGTGTCGCTAAAGTCCGATACCTCCTCCAGTGTAGTGAAGAATGGGACAGGTGTTAAGAAAGCTCCGCCCAAGAGGCCACACCTGTCAGGCAGGAAGATGTCATTGCAAGAGAGAGGAACATACGTGTCTTCTGGGAGCGGGGCTGACCGCTATTCCCGCATAGCCAGACAGCCGACCATCGAGTCCAAACGAGTGTCCATCTCAGATTCGCAGGTGAGAAAATTTTTTAAATCTTCTGGAATTGGCAGATGCCGATAATTAAAAAAAAAAAGCCAAATGTTGGCTGATATATAAGCCTTGGTGATATATCAGTCGACCGCTACTGAATAGTTTTGGATTGATTTGCAGTATCAAGTTTTTAATAGTTACTGACATCTGGTCACCTCTGACTGATTTTATAGTATGAAATCCTCTCTTACATAGCATGAAGAGCTTTGTGTGTGTGTGTGTGTGTGTGTGTGTGTGTGTGTGTTTGAAGCAAAACTCATTTCCTGTGATTAGTGTCCAGATCATGTGTCGACCCATACAGCCAAACTTTAATAAGGCTTCTTTAATTCATACACAGCCTCAGCACCCTCCCCCTCCTAACAACCTTCTCCTATAAATGAATATATTTGTTCTGACCTGTAGAGATGATCTGTGTGTGTTTGGCTGTGTGTGTGTGCGCCCACATTTCTTCCTGGCCATATGTTTGTGTGTGTTAATGGGGCTCAAGCCTGTCTGAGGGCTGAGACATTGAAAGGCAGGGGTCCTCCTCATCTTCTCTCTGTAGTGTATCTGCAGTGTGAGAGGCTCTCTGCTTTGAGAGGAGCATCAGCTGGACATGTTCTTCTCGTCTGCTCTCACTCATCCGGTGAAAGGCGCAGAGGGGAATGACTCTATTTATCGTTTATCATTGATGTCGTTTGAATCGTACATTCATACTGGAGTACTTAAATTATATGCTTCTACTTACTAAAAGTCTGTCATTATTTACTTACTCTCGTGTCATTTTAAACCCATTTGACTTTTTCCATGGAACACTTTTTTTAATTAATTGATTAATATGGTTTGCTCATTCTTAATGATTTGTTTACAAATCAGACTCATCCAGTTGAGTCAGTAAGTTGTTCTTAATAAGTGCATTTACATGCATTTTTAAAACTTAATTTCTGTCAGACTGAAGCAATTATTTGTCATTTTTTAAAATGTCATAAAACTGCTATAGACCCAGTCTGACCATATCAGTCGGATTTTTGTGAAGTCAGACGAACAGATCTGGATATTGTGATTCTAGCTTATTTTGATGTATATGGTGATACGGACTGCTATTGTCCTCTTCTGGAAAGCTTGAGTTGGCATTCATTGTAATTGCATGGATAAGGGCAACTAGTGTGTTGTCAATATTACATTTGCTGTTCCACAGAAGAAAGATGGTCATATGGGTTTGGAATGACATGAGGGTAAGTAAATGATGACAAAATTTTTGTTTCTAGATGAACTAATCCTTTAAACCACTTAAAGGAACACTCCACTATTTTTGAAAATAGGCTAATTTTCCAACTCCCCTAGAGTTAAACAGTTGAGTTTTACCGTTTTCGAATCCATTCAGCCAATCTCCGGGTCTGGCGGTAGAAGCTTTAAGTTACATTTCAAATGACAAGGGATCAACTTATAATCATGTTTATATGAATTATCCCGTGAACTTATTCTCTCAAATTGCCTGGGTATGCGGAGCATTCGCAGCTTATGTGGACGGAACGCCACTGGCGTACCAGCGCTTCTGACATGTTGCCGGTACTGAGTCAAAGCATCAGTGTCTGGGTGATTAGAAATGACACTATAAAGCACACTACCCAGGAGGTCATTTGAAACTGGTAAACTTCTGGAAAGTTCAAGGACCCAGTAAAGGAATGCATTAGTAGTAATAAGTAATAAGTTCAAAACTAAGTTCTGCTAATGCAGAGAAAAGACAGACGATTTCATCAGAGATGGCGGAGAGAATAGTGACTCACGTTCAGATGGCAGAAAATTATTCTTTTCAGTGTGTATTTGGCTTAAAAGCATGAGTGTTTTATAATGAATGCAGGCTGAAGTGGTTTAGTGATTCTGCATGGATTGAGTGCATGGATGGGTTGAGTACCGGCACTTCTTTTTTTCCACTTCAAGCACTGGTATCACCTAAAAACACTTATACACTCTCAGAAATAAAGGTACAAAACTTGGGCGGTACCTTTTTGAAAGATGCACTTTTGTAGCTAAAGGGTCCATATTGATACCTTAAAGGTACATATTGTTACCTAAAGTATACAGGGGTGTGCGGGGCACAAACTAACCTGGAGTTAGTTGTAACACACATGGTTTAAACATTTCCACACATGCTAGCATAACAAAATTTAAAGTTTTTACTAGTTAGCAGAAAAAACAATCCGCACACGGTCAAATGCAGGGCAAAACCTCCTCAAAAAAATCTTTATTATAATGCTTAATCAGAGGCCGTGCAAAGTGCAAAAGTGAAAAACGTTTTCGAGACAAAAGCTCTTCCTCAGTGCCACATTGATTAGTGCACACCTGCACCCATTATAACATCAATATTCACCATGGACATCATAATATGCACACAGGCCCAAAAACACCATACAATATATCCAATTTTACCTTAAGACATTCCTATAAATATATTTTAATGGTAAAAAATTCCTCCATGCAAAAATACCTTAATACAACATTATTAATTAATTTCTTTCTTCATAATTACTTTCATGATTTTTTCATGTTTGTGAAACTCTAAGACTTATTTGTAGATCTCATTCTATTTATTTGTTAATATGTTTAATTTTTGTTAATCTCTTTACATTTATTTGTGGATCATAATCTATTTATTTGGAATGATGCAACATTTCTATCTCCATACATTCTTTTGGGGTAAATAAAGAAAAAAGCATACACTGTAATTATGAAACAAAACCACATATTTGTACTAGACAAGTGTGAAATTAATGTGGGAAAAAATTATTCTCTAAACCCCATGTGGATTTACACAAACTGACAAAGTCAAAAAATTGTTAGGTTATGCCCCCCAGCAGGCACCGGACGTCAATATAACGTCAGGTTGATGTTTGCCCCTTACGTCGGACAGGCATTGCATTTTGATTGAGAATGAAAATCGGGTTGACGTTAGTATTTGACATCAATTTGACGTTTTTAATGTTGGCTTAATGTTGGATTTTGGTTACTTTACAACACAACCTAAGAACAACAAAATATCAATGTCAGCTGACGTCGGTATTGGACATCAAATTAGACATTGAACTGACATTGAAATTTGGTCACCCGACATCACAGCCAAAATTTAACCAAATATCAACGTCTTATGAAGTGTTCTTTTTTTCTGAGAGTGGCAAATTCAAGATCAGAGCTGAATGATGGCAATAAATTAATCATAAATAATTATTTTTCACAAACATACTCTATTTACATCTTTATTATAAATAAAAAGTGTGTAATGGACACTTGAGCACATATATTCTTATGAAATATGAAAAAATCAAACATTCCTCAATCTTTTATAAGGATCTTATTGTTATTCTCTAATATCTCTGTACTGTTTGTTTTAGTGGCAGAAACGGCTGCAGGCTCTGATATGATCGCTGGTGGTTAGAGGAAGCCTCATAAAGCAGAGATTAGAGGAGCGCAGCGTATCTTTCCCACATTCTCACATGTTCTGCCATGATTTACGTTACTGCCTGTGAGATGGTTATCACTGGTGGAAAGAGCTGTGGAGAAGAGCTTTACATTGATTTACTGTTGTTGTTCTGCAGGGAAAATTATTCTTTATAATGTTGGGTTTCATTAGTTTTACAATGTATTGTTTCATTCATTGGATGCAGCATCTTGAGGAAATATTGCATTGCATCTCATTCGCTAACTATGGTCATATTTGTACATAAAAAACCTGAGTAGGAACATTTTCATGTAGAAATCATTATAAGCGATAAAAGATGAATTGTACACTACCATTCAAAAAGTTGTCTGTATGATTTTTTAAGTGTTTTTGAAAGAAGTCTCTAATACTCAGCATGGCTGAATTACTTTGATCAAAAATACAGTAAAAACAGTAATACTGTGAAATATTATTACAATTTAAAGGGCACGTATTATGCCCCTTTTTACAAGATGTAATATTGGTCTTGGGTGTTCCCAGAATATGTCTGTGAAGTTTCAGCTCAAAATACCCCACATATCATTTATTATAACTTGTATATAATAGTGTCTAAAAAGAGCTGTTTTGGTGTGTATCACTTTAAATGCAAATGAGCTGCATATTCCGCCCCGTCTTCAGAAGAGGGTGTGGCGTATACATCTCTGCTTTGCATAACTACAGCAATAAACAGTCAATAGAAGCAACATGACTGAGAGCGAGAGAAACATGTTTGAACCGGAGTCAGACACAGATGAAGGACAGACTCCGACAGAAGAAACACCTATGAGAATGAACCAGGACGTCTCGGAATGGTTATTTGATACATGTATGTATTTGTAGAGTTTTCACTGCCCATTTGCAACGATGGATGAGCAACACACATACACACAAATACTTTTACGCTATGCGCTTTAACGAAACGACACACGTACTCAAATAGATGATGGGAGAAAATGAAGACTCTCATGTTCAGTCTTGCATCCAAACACAGAACACCGGGATTGCTTAGACATTGTTGACGTTACAGCTGCTCGAGCACGGAGAAAATGGAGGACAGCGTACAACCAAACACAAATCGCTGAGGGAGGAAACTACGGTAATGCAGGACTGTCAGTCAGCGGCCGTGGGTGGGGCCTAAACAATGTGACGTCACATTGCTCAGAGAATCAAAAAGGTCTAATGAGACTGGTTTGGTTTAATGGGGATTAAAAAATAAGGAGTGGGTGGATTTTTATCATTGTAGGGTGGTTGTGTTCACACACTGCCAACACATATTTATGTCCATTGTCCAAACACCATGTAAAAGTGGATTTTGCATAATAGGTGCCCTTTAAAATAACTTTTCTATTTTGATATATTTTAAAATGTTGTTTATTCCTGTGATGGCAAAGCTGAATTCTCAGCAGCCATTACTCCATTATTCAGTGTCACATGATCCTTCAGAAATCTTTTATATATACTGATTTTGTGCTCAAGAGACATTTCTTGTTATTATCAGTGTTGAAAACAACTGTGCTTTTTATACTCTTTGGAAACTGTGGCTTTTTTCAGGATTCTTTGATGAATAGAAAGTTCAAAAGTACAGCATTTATTTGAAATAGAACTGTCACTTTTTATCAAATAATTTCATCCTTGCTGTATAAAAATATTAATTTCTTTAAAAAAAAACACCCGGTAGTGTAAAACCAAAAAACAGTCCTTGGGAATGTGGAATTTGTTAAGCTAAATATTTATTTATATTAATAGAAATGTGAAATATCCCTTAAATGGAGATGGTCTGGGTTTATATTATACTAGTTACTAACTGTGGGTACACAATTACAATAATCCAGATCCATCAACATTAGAACCAGAGTAAGAACAAAGTGATATGCATTTCATCCGGTATTACACAAATATTAATAAATGAGACCAATTTTATGTGGATCATAATTGATTTTTCAGAGGTTGAGGTGTCCTGTTTCCTTCGTATCCTGACACTGTTTATCATGTGATCCTGTATCTAATGGTCTCAACCTCTCATTCTCTTCCTTATTCTCTCTCTCCTTCATTGTCTCTTTCCCTTCCTCCCAGCAGCTCCAGTCCCAACTTTACTGTTTTCTTTTTTACTGAGACTCTACTGTTTTCCTTGACTTACAGGACAAGCGAAAAAAAAAAAAAAAAGGTCTGGGGTCCTGTGTCTCTTATCTATTGTTTTTTCCCTCACACTTCAGACAGCTGTCATGCACACACTCCTCTCTGCCTTGACACTCCAGCTGAAGTGTGAGCAGTAATGTGAGGCTGTTTTGGTTAAGGAACATGGAGTAGTCAAAGTAATTGACTGTCAGATTTCACATCACTGGATGTTTCTCTTCCTCCCTCACTTTTGCCTACACTCTCTCTGTGCGTTTGCTTGTTCTCTGTCTCTGTTTCTTTTTTCCTTTTGCCCTTTTCAGTTTTGTTCTAGTGTACTTTTTCCCTTCACTCACCTTTGCCCATAATAAACTCTTGCCCTTTCTATAAAATACTTTGTGCCCACTGTATCTCTAGCATTACCCATAAACACATGCGCACAAACCTACACCACTTACACGCTGTGATCCCAGATGTTATTGTAGCACAACATTTCAATGCACAATATGGTTGTATCTTACTTAAACCCAAGATTATCCAGTCTAATCCGGGTTTAAAAAAGAAAAAAGGGCCAACCTGGAAGAGCACCAAAGTGAAAATTGAGCCTGTGTGCTAATCCTCCACTGTCACGCTTAAACATTTTATTTCCCTCTGTAAAAACTTCAGCTCGCTTTCTTTCAAACTTCCTCTCTTAGTGTTCTCCCCTCTCTTTTCCTCTTTCATTCATCTTCCCTTTTTGCAATCCTTCAGTTCGCATTGCCCTAGGAGGCATTCCTCTGCATTCACAGGAAGTAGACGTGGCGTTTATTTGTTGTGACAGGGCTTAGATGTGATCTGACTCTGTGAGACCTTCATAGAGTGACTTGTGCCCTGTAGTTTATAACTGTGAAATCTCATTGAAGCGTTACCTGATGGTAGGAGCTACACAATAACATTACCAGCCTAGAAAACTTGCTGTTGTCCATGGACAGGAAAAGCAATTCAGTTTTTAGGCATATCTGTTTTAAAGTTGCGGCTGATTTTTCCTCAGAGCCCACAAGATATCCTCACAATATAGAGAAGAAACTAAGCATCCTGCAAAATAAAACATGTCACTAGACCTCATTATGGGGCAATGTGTGGATATTTCTGCTCTCTTCTTCATTGAATTGATATGAAAGTAAATATGGTTCAAAATGATTTTGTAGAGCCTGTGAGACAAACGATTATGAAACATTTATGGATAGGAAAGTGTAGACTACTATGAAATATTTATGTAATTAGCTTCAAGTAAAGGCTCTATTGTTCTTTACTGTCTAAGCCATGACAATATGAATAATTGATGAATGATATGAATGAATAACATGATGAATAATTGATGAATAATGTGAATAATATTCATTTTAATTAGGAATGCACAGTAGTATATTGGTATTGGATAGATATTATCAGCTGATATTATTTATTTAATTATACATGCTTCTTTCCTCTATTTTCACTTTGTTCTTACATTTGCCATTATCTAGCACTCACTTAATAAGGAAAATACTAATAATTGAATAACACTGTTAAATGAAATCAAATCTAAAAAAAAAAAAAACTAGTGCTATTTACAAGTTATCGCCATAACATGATAATATTATTGGTATAATTGTACTGTAGTATCACTGCATCCTTGATTTTGACTTCTGAACAAATTTAAGGTCTTGTCTAAACTAGCTATTTCTAGTCCATCTATAATCATTAAGCTATTGTTCTTGGTGAGTTTTGACCATCTGTGTGAGAGTGTGTGTGTGTGTGTGTGTGTGTGTGTGTGTGTGTGTATGCGTGTGTGTGTGCGTGCGTGTGCGTGTGTGTGTGTGTGTGTCCATGTGTGTGTGCACGTGTGTGTGTACCTGGTATTCATCACGTTATGGGGACCAAATGTCCCCACAAGGATAGTAATACTAGTAAATTTTTACCTTGTGGGGACATTTTTGAGGTCCCCATGAGGAAACAAGCTTATACATCATACAGAATGAGTTTTTTTGAGAAAGTAAAAATGCACAAAGTTTCCTGTAAGGGGTAGGTTTAGGGGTAGGGTTGGTGTAGGGCAATAGCACATACAGTTTGTACAGTATAAAAACATTATTCTTCCTGTTTCTCAGAATCTTTGTTTTAATATGTGTGCAAGTTCTGAAATGATGTTGAGCAGGGATGTAACTGCACTGTAAATCCATCTTTTGTTATATACCTCATTTTTAAAACCACATTTTTTCAGTACAGCACAACACATAATGAATCTAAAGAAAATGGCAGTTTGTTGATGTTTTCATTTTTCAAATGTAATTTTTCACATTTTCAAATTGAATGCTTTTAAAATAAACATAAAGGTCTCTTTTTATCTTCTTTATAATGCTACAAGATTTACAGTGCATTCCAGCTACTAGAAAGATAGGATTGTCACATTTCTGTTATGGACCCTTTTCACATTTCCGGGTTTCTCAGCAGCGGAAGTCGTCATAGTTGGGTTAAGTTGAAGAGCAGTGAATGGGAGAGTACCACAAATATATTTTTTGCATTCATTGCTCAAATAGCAAAAGAAAAACTCCACAATAGTGTTTTCGTGACTTTCAATAAAAGGAAAAAAAATTGATAACGGCTGTCAGAAGAGAGAACGATGTCAAATTTACCGTCCCTCCCATAGACGCTGCATTAGAAACACCCTCGCATTAGCGTTAACTGTTTTTTTGTAATTTGATGCAAAGGTGATATAATACAAAGAATAGTGTTGTAAATGTACAAATTTACGATGCTGATGAACATTCACAGAACATTCACAGTCTTGTGAAAAGAGTCCACTAGGGCAGAATTGTTTGCAGTAGTAATGTTCCCTGCTGTAGAGAAAAGTTAGCAGTACACCGAGGTTGCTGATCCAGATATAGTTATTGCTTTGCCAATTTGGATACATATGAGTCTTTTTGCACTTGCCAGCTGATTCACAGACATGAAACTTCTTTCTTTTTTTTTTTTAAGATGCATTTTCTTCTTTAATAATGTGGTCTTGTACTGACCATGGTTTTGGAGAAGTTCTGTCATAATTTCATGAATGGTGGCGATAATGCTGTTACTTCAGAAATTGATTACTCTAGGCTGATCTTCTAAAGGCATCTTAACCAATCAGATGGATTTATGCAAATGACTGGATACATCTTCAGACTTAGAAAATACATTAATTGCAGCAGTTGATACAGACATGGCATCATCTCATGGGCACAATAAAATGATGGCTTATTAAAAACAGAAGTCAATGATGAAATCCAGGGGGAAAAAATCCAGAAAAACTGAAAATGTTTTTATTTGACTTTTCATGAATTTACTCTATTTGTTCCCAAATTCAAAATACTTACATGAAAATGTAAGGCTTGATTTTATTGCTGAATAACATTTTAAAATATATTTTACATATTTAATGAATTAAATTATGTAAAATGACCTTAATATCAATTAATAAAAGATGATTGAAAGTTCTTTAATGAAAACCAATATTAAAATGCCTTTTCATTGGATCAGTCTTTCTGCCAGTAGTAAAATGTTAGGCTATGGGAAACTGAGACTGTGGTATTTGCCTTCATAGTCAACCAGTGCACAAAATTATTTTAAAATCATTTCCATGTAGAATAGGTTATGAAACAAATGCAGAGATTTGTTATTTCCTCCTGTAACTGGCTTACATGTTCCCGCTAGTGTGTAATATATTAATATTGTATCCTTTGTGTGTGCAGCTGGGATTGATTCCATTCTCTCTCTGTCTCTGTTCTTCTCTCTCTTTCTTTCTTCCTTTTTCACAATCTCAGGATTGCACCCAGCTTAACCAGTACAAGTTAAAGAGTGAGATTGGGAAGGTAAGCCCACCTACATCATACTTAGATTGCGTTATTTCGATAGTCGACATGCATATAGACATCAGAAAAATCTAATGGCCATGTTGTGTTTCAAAGCAGTCATTCAGGCATTCAGACACTGACCCTTACTGACCCATAGCACAGTCTCATAATCTGACTCATCTCACTCTATGTATTTTGTTTTTCTTTTTTCCTCTATCCATTTCTTCTGTCTTGAAGGGCTCATATGGTGTTGTCAAGTTGGCGTACAACGAGGATGATGACAAATATTACGTAAGTATATTTTAAAACTAAATAACTTGTCCCTGTTGCATCATCCTAACTACTGACTGAATTTGGTGATGCTATAGTTGTGAAAAAATGACACAGTTAAGCTTTAAAAACAGTTATGAAGTGCATATTGTGGAAAAGAGAAAATGTAAAGTAAAGCTAAAAAAACAATATACTAGGCAAAAGAGATTGGAAGAGAAAAGAGGCTTGACAGAGAGGATGATGGAGGAGAGGCAGGATAGACTGAACGGTTATAAAAATGAGAGCAGATGGGGAAGGGTTGTGATATAACAGAAATGGCAGGACTGTGCAGCAGTCATTAATTTCATTTGGAGCTGTTTATATCTGCCCCCAAACACCATCACTGTTGATCACAATATGTACGCAACTGAGCAAACACACATACACATAAATAGACATACAGGAAGATGTCATTTTACTGTCCTCAGAGAAAAATGGCTTATTTCATAATTTTTCTCTTATTCTTTATACATTAGTTGGACCGCAAAGAACACAAGCATAAAAGGTTCTGTTCAAGTTTACATTTGATGTTTTTTAGCCTTTTTGTAAGCAAAACATGAAAATTGTTCTGCGGTGTGATCCTCATTGTGAACTGAAATGCAGAAACATCAAAATAAACAATATGGACAGGAATAAAATGTAAATACTATATATATATATAATATTGTTAAAAAGTAATATTTTGTCACCTAGCCCTACAGTAGGAATTATTAGTTTCCAAATGTGCTAATCAGGTCCCCACAGGAAGTAAATAAGATATTTTTCAAGCTTTTCAAGAAAAGGTACATGACAGAAAGTGAGATTTTCAGCATTAATGAGCATAAAATAAGTTAAAGCTGTGTTTATCTGTGTGTATGGAGGTGGCATATGGGAGCCTAACAGTTGGAAACAATGTGTCAGAATAGCTGAATACCTTGAAATTTCTTGCAGTGTGACATAAAAGTACTTTACTCAGCATTTTTTAAATTGTATTTTGATTGTGTATTTTTTATAAGCTCATATTAAAGGAATAGCTCACCCAAAAGGGAAATTTTGCTGAAAATGTACTCACGCTCAGGCCTTCCTAGATTAGTTTTTTTTTCCTTATCAGAACAGATTAGGAGAAATTTAGCATTACATCACTTGTATTAATCGTCTTAATGATGAAACTCACAGCTTTTCACTTCACAAGATGTTAATTAATGGACTGGAGTCCTTTGATTCCTTGTGGATTGTTATTATGTTTTTATGAGTTGTTTGTCTCATTCTGATGGCACCCATTCACCACAGAGGATCCATTGGTGAGCAAGGGATGCAATGATAAATTTCTCCAAATCTGTTCCAATAATAATAATTAAAAAAACATCTACATCTTGGATGGTTGGAGGGTGAGTAAATATTCAGCAACATTTTCATTTTTGAGTGAACTAATGGAGAGACTATATGGAATGTGTGTAAAGGATGTAAATATGCTCAAAAGGTTTAGATGCTAAATAAGGGACACACGGTGTAAAAGACTTTGATTGACATGTTGTTGGTGCTAGACAGGGTGCTTTCAGAGTCTGATATGTCGGATGGACAGACTCTTGTGTGCACCGCTATCTCCAGAATGTACGAGTAGTGCTAAAGAAAATCACATCTATTGAGAGCCTATTCACTGGATGAAAACACTTTATAAATGAGAGAGGTTAGATGAGATTGATCAGACTCCTTCATGCTGAGAAAAAGGCCACAAACACTCAAACTAGCACTTCTCACAACAGGAGAAAGGCACAGCTGAAATCATAACCTTGAAGAGAATGGGCTTTCAACAGCAGAACGCTGTTCCCGGATCCTCTTCTGATGGACTATATATATGAGCTGTAAACTGGATGGCTCAACAGTGGGGAAAAAGAAAAAAAAATTCTTGGTTTTTCTGAAGAATTCACAATAGAAGGATCAAAATCCAACATGACGTCATTTATCAGTATATAAAGGGCATTTTATTTGGTATTAGGTGTACCTAATAATGCTATTTTTCTCCCTTGTTTGTATTTCGTCTTTTTGCAGGTCTCCTGATCACATTTGAATATTTTCCTCTCCTCCTCATAATCATCTGTCATAACAGACAGTGTGTCTGAAAGCAAAATATAGCTCCCAGTTCCTATCTGCATTCATTCATTCATGCTGTGTGGATATTTAATAGCAAGGTTAAATAGAGGACAGAGATCAAATCCCTTCATAAAGGCAGAGTAGAGTGAGGCTGCCCCGTCTCTGGTCTTTTCACTCCACTGGCCTCACAAACCTACAGTATCTCTTTTTTACTTTACAGGTAGAATGAATCCTGAAATTATATCTTGTTCTTCATTTTTCTGTAATTGTTCTCCTCTTTGCAACATCTGACCATTTTCTTTCACTCTTTTTCCACCGTAGTTGAAATATGATTTTCAGAAACCATTCATTTTGATATTTGTCTTGTCATTCAAACTCAATTTATGAAAGCAATATGGGTTTTGCTGTAGAAAACAAACCTTTGAATAATATTATAATAATATAATACAATGTTGCATTATTGTCTTGATTGTTTTATTTATGGTACATTACAATGTATGGTTAATATGGTTAATTACAATGTAATTTATAATATAATGTATAACTGTTTTTGACACTGATAGTAATGTTATATTTCTAGAAATGTTCCTTGCGCTCCTCATCATCATATTAGAATTATTTCTAAAAGATCATGTGACACTGAAGACTGGAATAATGGCTGCTGAAAGTTGAGCTTTGTCATCACAGGAATAAATTACATTTTAAAATATATAAAAATAGAAAACAGCTATTTTTAATTGTTGTAATATGTCACAATATTACTGTTTTTACTGTATATTTGATCAAATATGTGTAGCCTTAAGCATTAGCAAAAAAGGAACAACAGAAAAGTAGCGAGTAGAAAAGCTATATATATATA